CTTGTGGTTAACATACTGCTCCCCTCTGGATTCAGGCAGAGTGTGTGACTGCTTGGCTCGTCCCCCCGGGAGCAACGGAAACATTCCCAGGGAGGAATTCACCTCGGGAGTCTCTTGATCTGCTGTTATAAATACCCTATACAGTAAAAACAGCAACGTCCTGGCACGCTTGCACAATGGGTTCTGCAAAGGTCAAAACGGGCTTTGAAGTAAAGCCTCTCTGCTCTGTGTTTCTGGAGGAAAGTCGACTCTCGGCCAGGTCGTGGTCCTTCTTACTGTCTTGCGAGGGAACACTTTCAATGAACGCCTCCATCTCTCAGTTGTCTGTCCACTTCACTGCGTGCTGCGGTGTTACGTGGGTGCAGCAGCGAGACCTGATTTGGCAAAGGCTCAGCAGCATCTCCGTCAGTGAACTAATCCGGGATTGAGCCGATCGGAAACTCAACGAGCAGGGCTCAGGGCCTATGGCCACCCCCCACTGCTACCCTCCTCCTCTGTTCACAGCTCTAGGCAGTCTCGAGCATTATATATACACATGTTGCAGCATGCCCGCAGAGACAGTAATATCTCAAAAGCATGACAAGTCTGAAAGGAGGCTTTAAAACTAAAACAACCAGGATGGGAAATCAACAGGCCGAGTGCAGGTAAACTGTTGTTTCAGGCGGGCCGGTTTGTGCTCCCAGCAGCCACTTTGGCGGGTGACCAGCAATTGTTTAGAAAAATCCCATTCTGTCGGGCCGGACGGTATTTGTTGGGATTTACCAGCTACTACGGATGAGAGAATAAAAATAACATTTCTGCTTGAACCCAACAAACTGCAAATAAGTCCTCATGACAACAGCATGGGAAAAGGTATCTTAAAAAAATAAAACCCTGCACATACATGCCAGGCAACTAATAGACTAACAAAGACCAGTCTATACGCCTCCCACGTGAAAAGACATCACATTTGCTTGCAAACAAATACACAGTTGCAGACATTGCAAGTGCAAATTCAGTTAGGGAGATCATAATGGGTCTCTGCAGCTTAATTGGGAGGCTTTCAGATTAAGGCAGATTTATTATGCCACATGCCAACAATATAACTGTAAGCATTTTTTTAAAAGGAAGAACTGTATCAAAGCTATTTCAAAACTAAGACCGTACACTTATAAATACACGACACTGGAGTGGGAGATTTGGAAAAAGGCAAAAATACCAGCTTACCTCTTTTCAATACTCCCTAAAATGCCCAGTTTGAAGGCATCTCCCGGGTTAATAGATTCCAGTGGCATAACCAGCAACTTTCTGTACCATGCCTTATGAAAATAATTTTAATTTAATTACCAATATCCACAAACATTCCAGAGAACTTCAGGCTGTGTCCATTTTCCCGCAATATAACTGCATCAACGTTTAACCCCATAGTTTCATAACGTGGCAGCATGCTCCTCTGATCTGTGAGTCCCATTAGTCCGGTTGTAAATGCAGAGACGAGCTCGATGGGGATGAGCAGATTACTGCAACACCGCCTTTTACAACCGGAGCTGTTGACAAAAGAGGGAAACGTCCTGTCAATCAGTAACCGTACTGTAATAACGAATTATGTGCAACAGTCCGTTTCCGCGCGAGGATTGCTTAATTTCTGACAAATTCTTTAGAGGAAGAAGAAAATGAGAGCAAAGTAAAAAAAAAAACTGTATATATTACATTTGCTGGCCATCATGCACATACCAATAACAGAATATTTAAGCATTACAAGTGGTCTAGAGATGTATTTATTTTTTAACGCTTGCATATTTAGTTCCCCCAAAATGGGCCAGTAGTGTTTGCACATTGTCATTAACTTCTGCTGCTGGACTTCAGGGAGTAAGGATCATTATAAAACCAACCATTAGCCACAGAACAGACATACTGCACTCCATACGGGCCCACGGACAGGTGACACAACTACATGAGATAAAGCATTTTGAGTCGCTTACTCCTTCACTTGAAAGCTGGACAACTTTGTCACGCCTTCACCGTCATGTAGGAAAAACAATCAGCTGGCAGAACACGACTGAACGACGTGCATCAGAGGGGATTTAGAAGTGCAGTGCAGTACCTCCACTGCCTTTACAATCTACACCACGTTACACCAGCTCAAATGGTGAAACAGCTATCACAAGATAATGAACACACACACACACACACACACACACACACACACACACACACACACACAGGGATGAAGGGACTGATGCAACCCTGTCGCAACATCACCTGCCAGGGAGCTCAGTAGGGGGGGTGAGGGTGGTGGTGCCCAGGGGTGATCCAACAATGCTCTGGGATGGTCCTCAAATAAATAAAGATGAATTAGTTGTTATCATGGAGAAACTGTCAGGACAGAGAGATTTACACAAGATCCGAAGAATAACCCATCAGCAGACAGAAGCGACCTGTGACAGCTCCAAGAGAAACACAGCTCACTGCCTCCGAGTATAAAACTGCATGAGAAAGTGTAGAAAACACTGAGCTCACACATGCAATCAATTACCTATTACCTCTGTGTGTACCTGCAGACAAACTTGTGATAGCAAAAAAAAAAAAAAAAAAAAAAAAAAAGGGGGGCTAACATAACTAGCAAGCTACGTCAGCTAGCTAACCCCAAAATCAATTATCCAATTTCACAAACCAACAAGAAAACTAAAAAGGTAAACAAAAACAGAGTCATGTGTGTCGCCGGGGAGCTAACTTTAACTTTATGAGACCAGATTTGGAAACAACAGCGAAACCAAAACACCCAATGAACGCTGAAGCTAGCAGCTTAGCACGGGGACGGTGTTGAGGTTGTCTTGGCTACAGACGTTGGTTTAAATGCTTCAGAGAGGGTTTGTTTTATTTTAAAACGAACCGGATACAGCGGCGACAGAGACATATAAGCACAACCCAGGCTCAGTGGCAGTGACATTAAGTCCTCACACAACCCAACCATGCTTCTCCTTCCGCCGCGGAGCTAACGCTAACGGGCTGTTAGCTCCGCTGCTCTCGCACTCACCTGGATAAACTTCAGAGATTCAAACAAAACACGTCCAACAGCCGCGTTACTCCTGTTACTCCTTTTTCTCCTTTTTCCTCCTTTCTCAGGGGAGCTGGAGGCCTTGGTGTTGTATGCTCACATGCAAGGAGCAGCGTTTCAAACTCTGCTGGTTGTCAAAATCCCGGGGAGACCTCTCCACTCCGACCTCTCACCCTGCAGCGGGGAGCGCGGGGAGAGGGCGACCCCTAGTGTTCACACACACAACCACAGCTCCTCCTGCTCCTCCTGCTCCTCCTGCTGCTGCTCCTCCTCCTGCTCCTCCTGCTGCTGCTGCTCCTCCTGCTGCTGCTCCTGCTCCTCCTGCTCCTCCTCCTCCTACCTCCTCATCCTCCTCCTCCTCCTCCTCCTCCTCCTCTCTCCTACTCCTGCTCCTCCTCCTAATCCTCCTCCTCCTGCTCCTCCTCCTCCTGCTCCTCCTCCTGCTCCTGCTCCTCCTCCTCTCTGCTGCTGCTCCTCCTCCTCCTCCTGCTGCTCCTCCTCCTCCTCCTGCTCCTCCTGCTCCTCCTGCTGCTCCTCCTCCTGCTCCTGCTCCTCCTCCTGCTCCTCCTCCTCCTCTTCTGCTGCTGCTCCTGCTCCTCCTCCTCCTGCTCCTCCAGCTCCTCCTCCTCCTCCTCCTGCTGCTGCTGCTCCTCCTCCTCCTCCTCCTGCTGCTCCTCCTCCTCCTCCTGCTCCTCCTCCTACCCTCCTGCTCCTCCTGCTGCTCCTGCTCCTCCTCCTCCTGCTCCAGCTCCTCCTCCTGCTCCTCCTCCTCCTGCTCCTCCTCCTCCTCCTGCTCCCTGCTCCTCCTCCTCCTGCTCCAGCTCCTCCTCCTACTCCTGCTCCTCCTCCTGCTCCTCCTCCTCCTGCTCCTGCTCCTCCTCCTGCTCCTCCTCCTGCTCCTCCTGCTCCTCCTCCTCCTCCTCCTGCTGCTGCTGCTCCTCCTCCTCCTCTTCTTCTGTTCATTCATTCTTTATTATTTTTTAATACAGAGTCGATGTGCAGTAGTGACAGAAACAACAGGGTGAAACATTTTAATAACAATCATTGAAAAACAAATACAGAAAATAAATACACAAATAAAAAGAAATTAAAAAATATACCAGATTAAAATTTAATTAAAGATAATATCTTTCTGGAAATACAACACAAAAAAGAGGTTTCACTTTTGCACGTTTACATTTGAGGGTGTAAAACTTTTATAATGAATTATAATGATTAATTAAATTAGATTAATTAAATAAAATTGTTTCTCAACTGAAATGTCACTCTGCACATTCTGCAAGAGGAGCTTAAAGTCACAGAAAATAGTATCTGAAATAAATCTACAAATATCTTGCCACAGGTTTATGGACTATTCCAGTTTATAAGTGCATTACCACCACCAGCTGGACTGGAGTGAAACTGGCATGAAAAACTAAATAAATAAACAAAATTCTCTCTGTTATTCTTATTATTCTTATTATATTTATTTATTTAGAGGGGCTTTTTCCGTATATTACATATAGATAAATAAATAAGTAAACTATTACGTACTTTTCATGATTTCTTTCCAATGATTTCAAAGTAATATTTCCCTCATCAAATGCTGATATTAATTCCCTTTCTTATCAATTTTCTTTTAATTTCTCTGCAAATGTTTAATATTTTAGCACAGGTTTTAATGTAAATTCAGATTTATCTCAGGTTAAACTTAATGTATTTAATCTACTGTGTTATAGGTTAATTTTAATTTTAATGTATGTTTGTATGCTGTATGTATAAAGTACTATTATATTTTGCTGCAGTCTATTAATATGTTTTCAGTTTATTACAATGAATGCATACAGTCCATTAGGGTGTTTGCCTCTGATATGGAGCGTATGATTTAATCCTGGTTAATGACACTATCTCCACTGTTTTATTATTTTATTCAACCAACATCAACAGCAACAACTCCATTCAGCATTAAGAAGGCGACTCTGGATGGAAATAATCATCTTTATTCATCATTTCACCATTTTTACTCATTATTATTATTATTCTCTTGGCCAAATACCAGCACTCCCTGTCACCAATGTACTGGTCTACAGCAGTGGTTCTCAACCTTTTTTTTATCAGAGTCAACAGCCGACCCCTGACTAAACAACATATCTTTAATATTTCATATTATATATATTATAATGGCGAACAATAACAGTACAGAACAACTGATGAACTGTACAGTGAACACAGAGCAGCAGATTATTTCCTGTGAATATTGTATTAAAGACAGTTTTCTTGATACTTTTAGGAACTTTGTATACAATATTCTGTCAGTTATTATGTATATTTTTATTTTATTTATCTATTTTTTAAGAATCACACATATACTTTAATAGGCTTTTTTTTGGGGACAAATTCAGTGTTTTCTTCTCCCTGATGCTTGGCCATTGTTCTATTAGCACCGTGGTTGTTTTAACTGCATACTTTTCTAACGCAGGACAAGACTGAGAGAGTGAAGGCTCTGTGAATATAGCAAAATAATCAGTCCATCCACTGTCCAACAAAATGTTCACTAACCATTACAAATGTAAACGGTCTGCATTTATAGCATGCTGTCAACACACAAACACAACTCACATAGTGACCAAATAATAACACGAGTCTGTAGTCACGCCTTCAGCAGAGCAGCCTGACCATCAGACGGTCTTAATAGAAAAGCTGAAAGAAATCAGAGTAGTGAGCAGCAACACAGAGATCTGGAACCAGACTATCAGCTGGCAGGATCACGGTGTTCTTCCCAGACTGGGTCGGTGACACGAGCGAGCACCAAAGCGTAAAGCTTGGCTCTGGCTGGTGAAGTCTACCAACCACTGTTAACATCTGTATTATCTGTATGGTATTTGAAATATAACAGTCATTTGTCACGTGCCAGAGAAGAGACAAAAAAAAAGGCAAACGGAGAGGTTGAAAAGTGGCACTAGAGGACGGCGCTGGATGTCCCGCGAGCAAAGAAGGAGGCACCTTTATCGTGGACCTTGTACTGAAAGACTTTCTTCTGTGCGTGCTGCCCATCGCCTTGTCTCCTCCTCCAACACACTTCCACCTGAAAATAAAGAACACTACTGGTTTAATAACATCTTTATTGCAGGAATTTAACATCTTTTTAAGCGTCTTCAACTGCAGATATTTGTAACCCCTCTGACCGACTTTAGGCCATGTGTATCATCATCTAGTGTCAGTTATTTATACTGTGTGTGCACTGATTTCACCCAGATATTCATATTTTTAAAAGGTACAATCCATCCCCCCACTAGTGACTAGTCACTTAATCAATGAGGCAATAGATAGAAAAATGAATCGGCAACTGTAACTGATCATTTAAGTATTCTTTAAGCAAAAAAAAAAATCAGTGTCCAGCTTTTCAAACGTGAATATTAGCAGTTTTTTGTATTTTATTACAGCAAACTGAAGTTTTTCGACAGTTAGTTGGACAAATAAAGCTCTTTTAATACTTTGTAACTGCAATTTTCTGCCATTCTGTTAACCAAAAGATTTACTGAGACAATAATAAAGTATACTTGGACTATACGCACATCAGAATCAGAAGAACTGTATAGAGACAAACACACGTACCTGCCCGTGAATGTCCCTGCAGTAGCCAGTAGGGAGACCCTGTACATGAAGAGTGAGGCTACACTGGTGGGTCAGGCCCTTCAGAAGTCTCTCTGAGCCCTCATCATCTTCGTCGTCCTCCTCTTCTTCCCCATCGCAGCGTGCCAGCATCACCACATTACCCTGCAGTCACAAACAGAGTAATGATAAGACGGAGAGTTTTTTTAATTTTTTTTATTGGAGCTGTTGAAGATACCGTACAGGAAGTCAGTGCGTCCCATAAAACGTCTCAAATAAAGCTTTCCTCCATTTAAGTTACAGCTCAAACTCCCAAAGGCAGAAACACAATCATGCTTTGACAGCAGTGATCTAACCTGTAGCTGGGAGCAGACGGTGGCTCTGCAGTAGTGGCTGAAGTCCAACACAGCTCCAACGCTCACCCCCAGACTCAGAAGCACGCTGAGGTCGTCCACCAGCAACACCGGGGGTCCCCACTCCTCCGCCCCATCCGCCCCCTCGTCCCTGCCACTGGAACTGCTCACACTGGACCGGACAAACTCGTACAGACTCTTCAGGCCAACAGCAGGATCCCTGAACACAGAGACACCAGGGAGATGGAGAATAGACTTCTCGTCTGTACAGGTAATAAAAGGGGATTATTTGTTTGTACCTGAGGAAGTCCATGGCTTGACTTCCTGTGTTTGTTTCTTGAGGAATTAAAACAGACAACGACTCCTTCAGGCCCTCCAGGAAAACCAGCTGCCCCTTTTCCTTTGCTTGTGCAAGGCTTACACCCTGAGGACACACACACACACACACACACACACACACACAACACAGTTCAATGTGAATTCTCTTGTGATGGGACCAGGCGAAAGGCGAACACTGCTACCTCTTAGCTCCTCAATGAACCCAGCGAACCCAGGTCCTTTAAATGATTAATAAGCATTTCACAAATACATATTTTCAGAAACGGGGTCGTAGGTGCCAGGAGGGGGGCCGGTGTTACAGATACACACAGATTCAGTGTAATTATTCGTGCCTCCTAACGAAGCCAAGTGGACACATCAGAGTTTGACTGGAATCCAATGTTGGGAAATACTTAAATTTCTAAGCAGACAAAATTAGTAGCAGCCAACTAATAATGACAAAATCTGAGCCCAAAAACAATGTTATAATACAGAAGTGACAGGAAAACAAATAAGAATCAAGTACAAAAGTAGAGGAGCTTTAACGGTTTAAAAACGATAACAAAAAGATTCATAATGTCAGCACTCAGTTAAAAAAAGGCTTTAAAACACCCTTAAAGTGTAAATGTTAAATGAGAATACAGCACAAGGATGGCAGCAAATATGGGGGGGTCTCACCAGTCTCTGGCTGACAGCACTGTAGTGGTTGAAGGACTGCACCAGACCCAGAAACCAAACTCTGCAGCGAGCTGAGGTCGAAGAGAGAGAGACACATTACCTGTAGTTCAGACCCAACTACATAAACTACAACACACCTGTGATGACACACGGATGTAAACTCACCTCGCAGGTACAAAGAGAGGAAGTGGTGAATGAGGAAAGAGGCATCACTCCGTCTGTCTGAGACCAAGATGAATTCTCCCTGTAGGTTCACAAACTTCACATCAGACAAAGTATGGACGCATCAGCAGTATCACGGTGCTGGGTTCATTTAAAGCAACGTTACATCCTCACCTGTGTGAAGCTGTCGGGAGTGCTGTTCAAGATGCTGTTGAGCTCTGTAAACATAGCTCACCTTTGCTAGTAACTAGTAAACAACACAAGGTAAAAACTGGTCGTAAGTGAGCTCGAGTTACGTTTCAAAACGCGGGCTTAATCTCAAACTGGGTCTTGTAGGTTTATAGGTTAAAAGAAAATTAACGTTAGATATTCTACTTTACTGTATAAGTTGACAGCTTCTGCCTTTCTCTCCACTAGCTGCCGTGCTAAGTGAGTTAGCATTGTACCAAAGAGGAGTGAAAACAAAACAGGAGGTCTCACTCTGCATTTAAAGGAAGAAACATTTCGACCACGAAGAAACCGTCGACCGACGCTTAAATATCTTACGTTTCAGAATCATTTGAACGACTTGTATTAACTCTAAACCCCCACAAAATATATAAATATAAACCCTTGAGGACTGAATTGTAAGATTTCAATCCGTATTTTATTTTATTTTTTTCCCCACCACCTCAAGTCTGTGACACAATGGTCTCCATGGTGACAGCTGTGTACATCCATCTTAATAGACGATCTTTGCGAGCACATGGCGACTTCTTCGACGCGTCTCCGTCCTTGTTGAGTCGACGGACAGCGCCCCCTGCTGGTAGTGCGGTTAAATGAGTATTAGAAGAGTAGTAGCAGTGGTAGTAAGAGTGTAGGGATAGATGTAATGTCATTATACCTCAGAAAAACACAAACCTGAACTCTACTCTTAATTTTTTTCCACTCTAGATATGATTTTTTTTTTAATTCATGCATTTTTAGCATCAAAACATGACTCAAGAGATCGCTTACTCTCCGTTAAAGGTGTTTCTGTACTGACAATAAACCGTGCAAGTGTTTTATCCTCCTTTATCCTTTTTATTACTTGTTAATCTGTCTGTAAGCATCCTCTGCCAGAGTCTCTTCCATGCTCAAACCTAAAAACGTATAGATATTTGCACCAGAAAAACCAGCTGTGAACCTCATTCATTCCATCATTTTTCTTTGCTTTTCATACATATGGGTTTATTCCAAGTATGCAGGGCATCTCCCTTTATGTCAGGAAACACGGTAAAAACGTACTCAGGAGAGGATGACTCTTTTTTTGTCTCTTTCTGCTCCACATGTGATACGTCAACCCTACACTAAAAGCTGAATGTGGAGGACTCAGTGTCCTGTTACTCTGCAGCACATTACAGTATAATACCGTAGCTGAACCTGTTAGTTTGGATATGCTTTGAGTTCATCATTTAGAAAGAAAAGAGGAATATGGCTCACCCAGTTCAGTTCACTCACTTGACAACTCTTACTTTTGTTTTGAAATATGATTTTTTTTATTTTCCAAAGTGAAACCAGCATCAAGTCATACTGTAGTAGAAGATGTTATTTACGAAGAAGCACTTATCAGGAAATACTCAGTAACCTCAAACCAGAGGTTTCCTACCTGATGCTTTTAAGTGAAAAAGTAAAATCAGCGTGCATATGTTTGTTTTTCTTTGTTGTTGGTTTAATCCAGTAAACAGCAGTAAAGCAGCTATAATCAATCTCTTTATAAAGAACAATGTATCAAATGACAAATACTGATTGACCTACGGAGAACTATCCCCTGAATCCTGACAACCTGTTGTCAGATAAATATTTTATCATCCATTATTTAAGAGCAATGACGATAAAAAGTCTGCGTTTTAAAAAAAGGTTTGTGTTTGTCATCCATCTTATCCTCGTGGTTCACACAGAACAATAATAAAACACTTTCAATTAAAATGGGAGAAAGAAAATTAACAACTGCTTTGTTTTTTGTTTTTTTAATCAGCAGATGGCAGTGTGTAGCTCTCAAGCAGCTCAATGTCAAACACATCAAGACTGTACATGCAATGAATCTGCATTTTAATCTTTCAACATGTTTTCCTGTTGCCCTACTAATAACACAGCTCTCATGAACAGACAGAGCAATGCCATCCCTGAGCCGCTGCACTGCAGTTCGGCTCACATGTTTGAGTGATTACGCCTGACTAAAGCCTTTCCATCTCCATCTCCGCTGTTTCTGTGCCGCAGCAACTTGGATTGAGTCTGACTCGGCAAAATCACATTCGAGAAAAGAACCTATGCAAATGTACGTTTGTCACACCAAAAGATAGCTTTCGTTTTAGTCATATAACTTGTGTTTTATCTTGTTTTTTTTTTAAATAATATAACCCAAAATGAGCAATTAAAGCTGCATTAATTGTCTTTTTGGGCCACTTGGGGGCAGCAGAACAAGCTGTAAACACAACGTTAACATATTACCATATTTGTAAAGTTGTGTCTCCTGAAGGAAATATCTGTCTTTTTACCCACATAGTGATATTGGTCTGGCCCAGACACTCGGCCCACATAAAGCAATGAATTACGGTTCAGATCTGGTAGCCGCATATGGCCCATGATATAGCCAACTATAGGATCACAGCTGGCCTTATTCTGGGCCCATATCTGACCAAACAGCACTCTTTTTGTTTGTTTGTTTGTTTGTTTGTTTGTTTGTTTGTTTTGGAAGGTTTAGTATTTACTGGCTAAATTTCCTCATTTAACTATGTAGCTACACATTATTACACATGCAGTGTTGACAGGGGAGGATATAGAGAGACAAATGGTGTGATTTAAAGAAATCTATAAATATTTTGTTCACAAGACTATCGTGTGGTTGAGGCATTTTTCATCTACGCCAGATAAGGTAAGTGTGCGTATTAATCAAGTGGCTTGTGTTTAATCAAAGCTGACATGTGGACACCAACATAGAGTTCAGAATAGGGCCAGCTATGGTCCAACACTTGGCTGAGATAAGGCTGTGTCATCAGCCATAAGTGTCTACCATATCTGGACCACCTGTGGACCATAATTCATTCCTGTATTTGGGCCGAGTGTAAGCGAGTGTAAGTGAGGACCAATTTCGCTGTGTGAGTAGCAGCTAAATGCTCCACTTTGTTCACCCGACAGTTACTATGTGTTGTTTGGGTGCTGTGCAGGCAGTGCACGGTGGGTTTTATCAGAGCTTCCTTTCCACCTGAAAGAAATAAAGTGAATGAGAGCGGTGAGGCTGAACCAAAACTGTAAAACTGCAGGCCTAAAGAAAACCATTAGAGATGATCAAGTTCCAGTTCCCAGAATGAGAATCTATGGTAACTGCAACTTTGTCTGTCTGCAAGAAAAACCCTCTTCCAGCAGGGATCAATAAAGTATCACATAATTAATATTATACACTTGAATACAAACATCAGTATTATTTTACACTGCTGAGTCAGCTGTGAATGGACCAGGAGCAGAGGACAGACAGCGTCATGTGAGAAGAGTAATATGGGACAATCCAGTGAGCTGTCATTGACTTGTTGTTTGGCAAACTGCCGGCCTGTTCGTGGTATAATTGTTGGCACGGATACACAAATGTATAAATAAGTGCTTGTGTTTCTGTCTCTGTGGAGGTTATCAGCAGGCTGTGTGGTTAGAAACTCCTACCGTCCCTGAAGTGTTCCTGAGAAAGACACTGAGGTTCAATGCTGTCACAGTGCAGTTCGGTATAATACTGCTTGGCATACATATATATATATATTGTATAAATATATACTTCAATTCTTATCGCTAATACAGATTGGTTTTTCATTATTGCTTGTAATCATATTTCTATTTTATTGTTGTTTCCTGCTCTTTATTTTTCATTGTTAATTATTTTTTCATGGTTTTACATTATATTTTTTTCTGTGACGCACTTTGTAGATAATTCTCAGTTTCAATAAACTGAAGATGAATGAAAAAATAAATACAAAAGGATTTTTTTTCTTGTTTTTTAAAAAATAAAAAAATGCTAATGTTAGTTTTTATGGCATTACACAGCAGCAGACACAGAATATAAATAAATAAGCTTTCTAACACCCAATAACCTTTGCTATAACAAGACCACAATACCACAACATAACAAACATTGGGTATTTATCTCCAAAAACTCTTTGTTCTCTCCTAAAGAAGCTGTACATATAGCACTTCCCAGTTTCTGACATTTATATATTTTTGGGAATGCAGACTTTTTGACAGCTGCCAGAGGAGACCAGCGGTCCTCTGCAACAAAATGCAAGCTGCCGTCCACTTCCACATCTTTAAACACCTCCTCCAGCTTCCAGTTTCAACCTGACATACAGTTTGTCAAACTATGGAAGCAAAACCCCATAGAAGTCCTTATTAATGTTACTTTCCCTGAATAAAAAGCTTCTGGTAAACGCCATCAAAATTCAACATGTGCATTCACAGAACTATTTTCAAGATGACAGCCAGGACAACGAGATATGAGGAACAGTTGAATCAGGGGGTGTAGGGGTTCAGAGTCCACGGTCTGGACAGCTGAAGCTCATTGATCATGGAGGCTGGCAGCGAGCGAGTGCTGACCGGGCTGCAGACAGAACAAGGCGGAGAAGGAGGATACATGTCATCCTCCCACCGTAGGACGCGGCCCTTAGCCCTGCTGGGGCCATTAACAGTCTTGGTACGGGGCCCATTGAGGATTTGCGGTTTGGTTTTGGGCATCCTGTAGAGGTAGACGTCGTAGCGGGCAAAAGGACCTCTGGAAGGTTTGATCTTAGTCCTCTTGGAAAGGTGGAGCTCCAAGTCGATGGTTACCTTACAAACAGGAATAGACTTGTTAATGGCACGTACAAATAATTGGACAGAGATACAGAGGCATAAACACACAGAGTAGATGCATATATAGATCAATATCCATTGTGCTACTACCACACAGGACAGCCATGCTCTGTCTGTGAGGCTGTAGTTAGACACAGTGGTGCTGAAGTGCTCACAATAACATGCTGTTTCACAGGTACAATGGCGGTAACATTGTAGATTTGTTAACAAAAATGTTTATAATAAAGTTTCTGCCATTGCCATCATCTTAGTGAACCCTACCCTAACCCTAAGTCAAAGGATCACCAGAACCAGCACGATTCCTGTCAATGTCAAATTAAATAGCAATCCATTTAATAGTTGTTGAGATATTTCAGTCTCAACCAAAGTGGTGGACAGACCGAACTGCAGCACAAGGACTGTGTACAGCAGTTAGTTTAAGTAGAAAAATGCCCTCATCCATACCTTTTGATTGATAGGTTGATAATTTCTGTATAAGCAGTGAAAAAATATCACCACGGCCACAAATGAAGGTCAAACAAAAGAAAACACTAAATCATTGACCACAACAACGACCACAAAAGTACCGGCCAAGACTTCATTTAGTCACACAGCCTCATCATCATCATCATCATCATCA